AGAACAATATTTAATACATTAAGTGAGATGAATTCTTTCTGATGTTTATGATGGAAGTAGAAATTGCTATCCTTTTTAAGTGGATTTTGGGATTTTTTGTGAGTGATGACTGTCTAATTTTCTTTACCAGTGTGTGTCTCCTTGCAGTTTCTTGCATTGTTTTTAAATCAACGTAGATTCTTATCAGACTGTGCTTGGATTTATTTGCCTATAAGTTTACATTGCCCATCTGTAAAGATAAGTTGTCTGTATTGACCTTCTTGCCACAGTGGTTGGGTTTTTTTGTTGTTGTTTGTTTGGGTTTCTTTTTGTAGTAGCGATTAACAGTCCTGAAGAGCACACTTTGGTTTCCAGAGTGTTGCTCTGTAATGGCTTCCAAACCATTGTCTGTTCCCTGTTTCAGATGAGACTGATTGTGAAATTATATTGCATCCCTGTCCCATACATTGCATTTTTAACTGTTGACCATAGCTGGGCAAAGATCAACTTGTTGCAAAGTTGGTTGCATCTCTAACCTATACAGTCAGTAGAACTCATACTTGTAACTTTCAACAGTCTTAGTTGGAAAAACAAAACTGCTCAGTCTGCAATTCATGATTTAGATGTTAACATTCAAAATTAATACAAATACCTATGGTGCCTATCTGACTTCAAGGTAGCACATGTAGCTTATTAGGAAAAACAAAGCATGCAACAGGAAACTCTCCTAAGAGACAAAAGAGAAAGTAGCATGGGAAGATTTTGAATAATGAATTAATAAGATAAGTATATATTGCTAATAAATACAGGGGGGCTTTGCTGAAACAGTGGTTAGTTTTTAGGTAGAATTTGGTTTTGTGATTGTTTGGAGTATAAAAGATAGGGACTCTTAGATCTAGATGAACTTTTCTTTCAGCACTGAAATTTAAGTGTCTTTAAAATTAAATGAGAAGTTATGGTGTGAAGGAAATAGCTTGGGGGCAGGGGGACTTCATTGTTGGCAAGGAAATAAGAACTTAAGCTATTCAGAATAACTGAAATCTTGGCTATGGCATGTTTATTAATGAGGCAGTGAAGCTGCTAATGAGGGGCCAGAAAATTTGGAGCTTTCAGTAATGTTATATGAAGTATGACATGCACATTACGATCTTGTTAGTATCATGGAAATGTGGTGGGATGGCTCCTGTGACTGGAGTGATGTAATGAAGGGATACCAGCTCTTTAGGAAGTACAGACCGGGAAGATGAGGAATGGGTGTTGCCCTTTATGTGATAGAGCAGTTAGAGTGCATAGAGCTCTGCCTGGGGATGAATAAGGAGCCAACTAAGAGTTTCTGGATTAGGATTAAAGAGAGGACAGGTAACGGTGACATTATAGTGGGTGTCTCCTACAGGCCACTTGACCAGGAAGAACAAGCAGATGAGGTCCTCTACAGACAGATAGGAGCAGCCTCATGTTTGCAGGCCCTGGCCCTCATGGGCCTGATATATGCTGGAGGGACAACACAGCAGGACATAAGCCATCCAGGAGGTTCCTTGAGTTCGTTGACAACTTCTTCCTCCTCCAAGTGATAGAGGAGCCAACGAAGAGAGGTGTTTTGCTGGGCCCTCATACTCACCAACAAGAAGGGGCTTGTTGGGAATGTGAAAGTCAAAGGCAGCCTTGGCTGCAGTGACCACGAGATGGTGGAGTTCAGGATCCTGAGGGGACGGAGGAGAGTAAAAGCAAGCTCACAACCCTGGACTTATGGAGAGCAGATTTTGACAGGTTATACAAACTGAGATACAACTAACTGACTATTTCTCCAAAAGTAGTTGCCAGCACTGTAGAATGTGTTTGTGGAGTGGAAAGTGAGAAGCCATAAAGTAGGTTGCTTTTACTCCTGTATATGAGTTTAATGAGACTTACACTGGAATGATGCATGAAACTATGGATGTTCACACTATTAAAGATTTTTTGAAGAGCTGGAAGGGTTGCAGAAGGGGATCACAGGAAGGATTCTAGTCCTTCAGAATGAAAGCTCGTTCTTTTTAGATGGTCGTGTTACTTCTCCATCTTTTGGACTTTTAAAAACATTGTTATAGTATGTTAAAGAAAAAAAAAACCTTGAAAACATGGTATTTATTCCTTATTGAGGTATTTTTAATAACTCAGAAATGCAGACACAATTAGTGACTAGAAATTGAAGCATCAAGTGTTGCTTGATGAAACTCTTGCAACACTGTGAATGTGCTCTTTTTGCAAGGTGGATTTAGTAACTGCCAGCCCTGCAAAACATCTCTCTGATTCGTTCCATTAAGATTGAATTGTTGCTGTTATTTGAACGTGTTCTGAGTCATGTACTATTCTCCGTTGCACTCAAGTTTGAGCACTGAAGAAAATCATGTTTGGTAACAGGTCTCTCCAGCCACTCCCTTGTGATCATCTTAGTGTCATTGTGCCTATCCCCATTTGTATTGGGGAGAGATGGCAGCAGCAGTAATAGAAGTTGACATACACGTCTCCCTCATTTGCCCCTTTCCACAAAAAAAAAAAAAGTGCCATTCACATCTTCATCTTTATCTTGCTTTGCCTTGGTTCAAGGGAACTAGTGAAATAAGATTTTGAGGCTAGACCTGAGCCTGCTTCAACAGTTTTGGAAGCAGTGCATAACCAGAGTAGAATCCAGGTCTCATACTTGGATGTAGCTTAATAGTGTTAAAAAAGTAAGTATGCAGTGTAGCTAAAGCCTGCAAATACATTGAGGAGTCATTTTTCCCCATGTATTTTTCAAAATGAATGTTGCAATAACAAGTCTGATACTGAAGACAGAAATGAGTAAAGGTAGCTAAGTTATCACAGATTTTTTACAGCTATACTTGCATTGCATAAGTAACACGTATACATATTGTGGGTCAGTGTGCTTTCTGGGAAGTACATTTATTTGCTGAAATAAATAACAGTATTTTTATTTGTTGAATGTCTCTTTAGTACTCATTGGAATAAAACTTTTTAGTAGTTTTGGAAATGGAGGAAGCAACAGAGAGAGAGGGAGAAGAGGGAAAGCTAGCTGGAGATAAGCTCAAGTTGTCAAGATTTCTTCTTCAGAAAAGTAATGATTTGACCAAAAGTAGCAGCTTTGCCAAATCATGTTTTTGAAAACAAATTAAAAGTGCAAGGGAGAGCTTATTAGCATGATCTATTTTGGGTTGATTCTGACATCCTGACTGTGGTACAGTTCAGAAAGGAAGTATTTCTAAAATAATAATGCTCCCCACATGATCTAATTAGCATACCCAATAATCAGGTATTTTATAGATCCATTGTGACAGACGGATGAACTTTCAGTCATTTGTAGTCATTCACACTTTTTTTTTTTGTACGTAACTGATTTAAAACTAATACAGGAAGACTTTTTTAAACAGGAGGAGGAAGATATCCCAGTTCTATTGCTAGAGACTCAAGTTTCAATTAAATCAACTTGAACAAATAACATGCTTCAGGTCATGTGTTAGAATAGTACACTGCTCCTACAGTACTTTAATTTATATTTGATTGATGGAGAAATTAGTATGTTAAAAAGCTAATGTTGACAACACAACCTGCCAAGAGTATTCCTTTTTATCTTTGTTCTTTCTTTGCTCCTCTCTGATTTGTTAACTATAATTTCTAGTACCTTTTTAACCTGTCATGTTAGTTTTTGACTTACATGTATCATCTTAAGAGAAAATATTCCTACTGACTAATTGTCACTTTGAATACCATGTACATGGAACTTTTAGATGAGATCCAAATGAATGAGTTTAGTATGTAAGAGAATAAAAAAATGTGCATTCATATATTTAGTAAAATGTACTGCTCTGCTTTGTCTATGGAAAATGTTTATGATAAAGAAAATGGTTTAAAAAAATAAAACCCTCAGCTGCAGCTTATATATTGGGAAAATTTTGAGAACTAAGCTTACAGGTAAATAAACACTTCTGTTACAGAAGATAAATCTAAATCATAAATAGAAAGGTATGGATAAACTGAATTGAATGACAGTGTAATAAAAACTTCAGTTAGTCTAGTGAGATTTTCTTTCAACACGCGGCTATTTATTTGGGCAAATCAGTTTTATCAGTATGTACATAAAGAATTTTTCAATCTGGAATTGTTTTTATATACCTAAAAACAATAATAATTTTTTTCAGCTCATCCGTAGGAAGGTCTTCTCACTTTAGTCAGATTGTGTAGCTGTTCTCATGTGCCTTTTAGGCTGGGTGAATAGCATTCATCAGAGGAAAAGCCCTCTGGAGAATTTTAGGTATCATTTGGAGGTCCCCAGGATTTTGGCTTTGTTACATGCTTCTCTCGGGTCTGACTTTGTGGGTTTGTATTTTTTTTATGTAAACTTTTCAAAAGTTTATTTATCTTTGCAGATTGTCGAGCATACTGAAGGTGCTAAAATGATGTGAAAGCTCAGCTATAAGTGCCCCTGCTACTTGTCACAGTGTCCCCCCTTACAAAAAAATTGAGATTGTCAGCTATCTCAAATTTAGTAATTCTCTGGATGTTATGCTGTCGTGTATAGAATTGTATAGAATCTGCATTCTATACAATTACCTGAATGCAAGTAGCACAGATAACTCTAATTACAGATGACTGTAAGTAGCCTAGGAAATAATGCAAGTGTTAACTATAAATATTAAACTTTAAACATTTTCACTTTTTTTACTAGAAGTAGTCTTTAAAACTCTGAGAACTTCTAGTAAACATTTAATTTCCTATCCTTAGGATCAGTCTAGGATTTTTTGACTCTGGTGTTACTTTTTTTTTTCTTTTCTTTCTTTTGGCCAGGAATAACAGGTAGACTTAAGAAAAACTTGCTCTAAGTTGAAGTGATCTCCAGCGTGAAATTATTTTTTTATCATGAGGACAGTATCCAATATAAATTTGTAGTATAACTTTGATTTGAGCAATTATTTTGGTGGAGTTTTTTTTTCAGAGAAAACCATCATTAAAGTATAATTTTTAATGTACTTTCAACTCTGTTCTTTTAGGTAACTTTTGAAATGCACAAAGAGAGTCTTTCTCAAATATACAGGGAGTACCAAGGGAAAGGAGGTGAAGGGAGTGGAATACCTTCTTCAACTCCAATTAGAACAATCTCTGGACTTAGCAAAGAAGCTGAAACCAAGGGAAAGCAACAATGTTTGGAGTTAAAAGAAGATGCTACTGCTCCTTCCTGCATTATTGATGATGATATGGAGTGCAGTACTGAAAAAAAAGAGACAAATACCTCAACAGATGGTGACCAACAAACTCATTCAGTGTCTAATCGTAGGGAGGAGTTAGAGGGGGAAGACAGGGAGACCACACAGGATTTAAAAGCAGTGTCTCGTGTGGAATTTTCTCCAGAACCAGAAGCAATAAAGCCCAGTGTTTCAGAAATTAGTACTGAAATAGCAGAAGCAATTGAAGATTCTCTGAGCAAAGCTGATGAGGTTGTGGAAGAAACAGTAGCTGTCACTGCTGCTTCTTTAGTGATGCAAACTACTTTGGAAGGAGAAACTCCTTCAAGTCCAGAAAGACTGCAAAAATCAACGGTAGAGGTGGAAGATGAAGATGACTTTGTTGATTTGAAAGAGGAAAGTAGTACGCCTTTACCTTCAGAAGAGTTTGCAGAAATGAACAAGGAACGTAGCTCTAATGAAAGCCAAGTGACAAAGCAGGAAAAAGCAATAGAGAAGCAACCTGAATCTGTGCTTTTAAAATCCAAAGATACTGAAAGTGTGGATAGGAAAAAACAAGAACTGACTTCTTTACCGGAAACAAGAAGTAACGACTCAGCTGGATTCAGAAGGGAAAAAGAAGCTGGAGGAAGAAAAGATTCTTTTTAGTGAAACCAAAACAGCTGAAGAAAATGCAAATGCCCATGTATCAGAGCCTGCTGGAGCCTCTGACAAAAGAATCGCCAAGCTTGATGTTTCTAGTGTTGCCTCAGATACAGAAAAACTGGAATTGAAAGCTAACACATGTCTAGAAGCACCTCTGCCCCCCAGATCCATACCTGAGGTACATTTTACCTGTCCTTCATCTGTCTAGCTTAAAAATAGAAGTAGTTCTTATTTTATGAGATTTTTGAAAAAGCGTGCCCATACACATTTTGGGGTTTTTAATGTTTGTGGATTTTGTGAGTTATCTAAAGAATACTTTCAACCCTTGATTAAAATAGCCATAATTCTTACTAATTTGTGTACTGAGAAGTCTCTAAGATTTTATTCTTTGTACATCCACTTATGGATGCTGATGGAGACCGAGTATTTCGCTAGATGGACATTTCATCTGTGTTGGTACTTACGTTCTTAAGTTTGAAGAATTGAAAGAAACATTTATTCTGAGAGGATTTTATCTAGAATTTCTTCTGCTTCTTTACTCAACCTCCCTTTTACTCTTTTCAATCTGGTCTCTTATAATCTCAACTCTTACAATTATTGAGAAGCGAACATTGCTTGTGCAGAAATAATAACACTAAGTTTCTTTCATATCCTGATGGAACTTGTGAAAATATTTTTTACACTAGCTACTCTGCAGGAGGTATGCAATATATATATATATTTTTTTTTTTAAACTATGAAATTTGATAGGATTGTCACTCCATCATGTCAGCCTACCTCTTTTGTGCAAGTATAATTTAAAACTGGGCTTCTGTTGCATGCTGCAGTGCTCCACCCCTCTAGTCTTTAGTTTCTAACTTAGCTTTTCATGGTTAAAGTGTCACGTATCTGAGTACTTACCTTCTGCAGAGATACCTGCTAATGGATGCTCTTCGTTCTGCACCATTCTTCCTTAAAGGAGGAAAACCACTGTCTACAGCAACATGTACTCCCCCTGTGGTAAGGTTGGGTTGCTGCTTGTGGATGCCTAGGCTGACAGGTGTGGTAGTGAAGCTGTAGACTAGTTTGTAGGTTTGGTATATCTAGTAAATAGCATTTGTGTAATGGTTTTAGCTTCATTTGTAACCATGTACACAGTCTAAACTTGTTGAATATCTAAAATCCCAAGTTTATTAAATGCATTTCAGTGTATGCCATGGAAACTAATAACCAGGATGTGTTGGGGTTTTTTGTTTGTTGGGGTTTTTTGTTTTTTTTTTTTTTTTTGTCTGCAAACTGTGTATTCAGACCTCAAGGAAGCAAGATTCGTCAGGACAAGAGCTAGCTGCTACATCAGAAGGGCAGAGAAGAGACTCTAGGTCAACTGTGTTCCGTATTCCCGAGTTTAAGTGGTCACTGATGCATCAGCGCTTGCTCACAGACTTACTTTTTTCCATAGAAACAGATATACAGATGTGGAGAAGGTAAATTTCTGTGCTTTATATGGAATGATCTAGGCTGGCATTTCAATTTTAATTAACTTGAGGTTTTGTTGAAACTGCATCAGAGTCGCTCTTTGAATTTTGCACATCTGGTATTTTACTCATTCAGTAAATTACTTATTTTGTGACCTATACCCAGATATTCTCAGATTTCTTTAAAGACTTTTTACAGACATAAATGTGTATTGGTTGAGGGCCTGCACATATATTTTGACTGAAATCCTGGCTACATTTATGTCAATGACAGTCTTGCTGTTGATTTTTATTGGGCCTATATTTCCATGTATGTAAGGGCCTGCATCTTTTATTAGTATCTAAATATAGACTAAAAAAAACCCCCTCTATCCCAAATAGTATTTATTGCTTCTGCATTTACACACACTATGTTGCTGCTTTGATAGGGTTCTGTGACCACAGAGATGTTCTATGCATTTAAAAATTAACTTGTAACAGAGATCTGGAATGTAATCACCAAGATGAATTTAGTAAAAAAAAGGAAACTTTGAAAACAGTGGTAATTCTGCATTTTAATGTTAAGATTTAATAACTTATTAAAGAGTGGTGTCTATTACTAGCCTGTAGTAGTGAATGTCAAATTTAAATTGAACCATATAGCTGTACTGACCTGATAAAAAGGAATGTAAGGATGAAGAAATAGGTTATTTAAGTGATTAAAACAATTTGAACTGCGGTGAACTTTTGTCTGAATATGTTTTTTAGGATGTGATTAAATTAACCTCTCAGGACATCATCAGATATAGTTAAAATATATTTTTAGTTTAGGTTCTGTTTTGAAAATCTATTTCCATGTTTAAGAGGTTTAAGGTTTTGTGTTTTGTTGATTTTTAATTTCTCTGAGAAGCCCTTAGTATTTGCTTTGTTTTTCCAAAGATTTAAGTTCAAATCTAGTTTACACTTCCAGGAAACTTTATTGTATTGCCTGATACAGTGACTTTTGCTATAGCAAGTAAGCCTATAATGTATCTTTATCCAAATAATGATTAACACACATCTTGATGTTTTTAGCAAGCTATGATCTGGAGAGGTTTAAGAACAGAAAGGAAAGGTAGTTTTAGATTTAGATTAAGGTACATCAGTTGACACTTACAGTCATGTGATATTTGCTGCCCCACTGCTAGCTGTCTGGTTTTAGTTTTATGAAAGCATAAAGATGCTAAAATACCACAAAAATAAAGCTGTATTCTGAATGGTTTTTTTGGACAGCCATTCTACAAAAACTGTGATGGACTTTGTGAATAGCAGTGACAATGTCATATTTGTGCACAACACAATTCACCTCATCTCTCAAGTGATGGACAACATGATCATGGCTTGTGGTGGTATATTGCCATTGCTTTCTGCTGCCACATCTGCTACTGTAAGAAATTTCATTTTTATTTGAAAATTTATCTCTTGTGGGAGGATACCTTTCTTTATGCAGTGTATTAACTATTATATCGAGAAACAGGAATGCTTGTGGGATATTTCCACAAGCATCTCTTTCCTCCCTTTGCTACCTCCATGCTTTCCCTAAGATAAATTGGGTGCCTGCCTTCTTTGCCTGACGACATAAAAAGAAGTTGCCTAGCTTCATTGTCCCACAGTGGTCTGGAATGGGATTAAATCCCAATATTAATGATTGTTCCTAGAATATGACTAATTAGTACTTTTGAATGTGACTTGAAATGGACTTCCAGCATATATTTTTCTTCATTTAAGTTGTAGAAATATCACCTTTGTGAAGAAGTAAATGTTGCTTTCAATTTTTCTCTGTGTAGCATGAATTGGAGAATATTGAGCCAACTCAAGGACTTTCAGTAGAAGCATCTTTAACGTTTCTCCAGAGATTAATCAACCTTGTGGATGTGCTAATTTTTGCAAGCTCTCTTGGTTTCACTGAAATTGAGTCTGAGAAAAATATGTCATCTGGAGGGATTCTGAGGCAATGTCTTCGTCTGGGTGAGCAAATAAAACCACTTAATGAGCGTGGGAGCTTGCTGTTACTAAATAGTTAGCAATTGTTAGCTTTATTATTTTTTTCTGTCCTTTTTTTGTTAAATCGAGATTAAATTTGGTCAAAGAAGCATTGGGATCTTTTACTATTTTACTATTACTGTATTCTGCAATGCATATACATGGGGTTCTTTTCCTCTTTAAAAAGTTTAAAGGAAATAAATGATCAAGTTTGGTAGCCTGATTGTTGTGGCTGCATGTTTTCGTTTTATCCATGAAGATACTTCTTTTGCCAAAGTTCCCCAAATATTCAAGGGTGAGAATATAGCAGCTTTAAGAAAAAGAAATCTGGTACTATATACAAAAACATGAACTTTTACAATATGTAGAAAAGAGGTTTAAATCTTGAGGTCAGTAGATGAAGGTATGGTGAAAACTAGAGATGTAAATTTCTAAAGAGTAGGGTTCAAATTGAGCAGTAGTTGTATCCAGTATTATAGTATGTTTGCATCAAATTGGATTGAAAGAAAGTGGTCATTACCTAAAAAAGTAATGACTATTCTGGAATTGAGAACATACAACTGGGTTCAGTTAGTTAATACAGGAAGAAAGTGTTCATGCTAGTTGCATGCTGTAAGACTTTTTGTAATGAAAAGTTTAATTTGCATGAGTGCCAGAGCAGCTCAGAGCCTCAACAGTAACTAGCCTTCCTCTCCCTTTCTAGGCAATTAAAACTTTGTGCAGGTAGAACAAGATTTATGGGATGCAAACAGGTATAGAGGTGGGGTAGTTCTTTTTTCCTTTGAAAATAATATTAGAAGATGAAACAGGTACAATTGTGAAGCTAAAAAAATAAATCGTGTAACTTCAGAACGTTTAGTCTAAGAGTAACAGAGCATTGTGAAGCAAACATTGTCATTTGTTTCACTAGTGTATCACTTGTCTTTCTTCCTTGCTAGTCTGTGGAATTTAGCTGTCTTCACCCTCCCCACCCCATGGTTGTATGCATGGTAAAATTTCAATGAGGGATGCTAACTTACTCACTTTGAAGTATCCATTAGATACAGCATACATGTTCTAATAGTTTAGCATTACTTATTAGTTGTAAATTATTAAAGAATTATGAGCATTGTTTTGCGACTATTTAAAATTTATGGAAGCAAAATATCATTTTACTGATGTGCTTAAACTTTTTAGTTTAAGTGAGAAACAGAAACGTATTATACATCTCTGTAAGGGATATAAACAGTACTATTTCCCAGAGTAATTCTTAACATTTCTTTTCCCTTCAAGTATGTGCGGTAGCAGTAAGAAATTGCCTGGAGTGTCAACAGCATGCACAGATGAAGCCTATTGGAGACATTGGGAAGAACCAAAAAACAGTGCAGGGCTTTATAGGAACAGGGAAGTCTGCAGCAAAGGCAAGTATAAGACCACATTCAGGAACACAAAAGTAAATAATTATTACTCCGTACAGAGGGATAAGTTTTTAAATTTATACCTGCACCTCTGATACTTTAATAGAGCTGAAGGGCATGAACACTGGAAATCCTGAGGTAGTTTTTCCAAGATGTGAATTTAACACTTACATATTTAACCTTCCACAGTGAAATAAATGTCACAAGAATTTGCCAGATTTTATTTTTTTTTCCTTTAAAGATGAAATGCATATCTGATCTTTGTGCTCTAGTTATGACAATACGTACAGTGGGTGATTGTACACACTTAATGATTCTTGGTAGAATGCTTTTACGAACAGAATCTGAAACAATTGTGCTTTTTTTGTGAATAGAGTCCAGTGGACATTGTGACTGGTGGTATTTCTCCAATACGAGACCATGACAGACTTCTGCAGGATATGGATATTAATCGACTTCGAGCAGTAGTGTTCAGAGATATAGTAAGTTACAAATAATGTTGTTTTCTTTGTAGCTACATTTCTGCATATATCTGTTTGCTAAACACTTGCTATGTGTTACACAGTTTGGCTAAATTGAATTTACAAAAACTGAATACTGCTCACAGTAATTAGGAACACATAATACTCTGCAGCTGTTGTAGTGTTTGGGATAGGAAAGAGGGAGAGGTGAGAATTGCTGCCTGCCGATCAGGCTCTTTGATGTGTTCCTAAGAGCTGATTCTCTGGAATTCTGTCTACTGTATATTAAATACGTTGTGTTTAGTACAAATATATACTTTCACATGTTGTACATAAACAGTTTGTCTATGTATGCTATGTATCATAAAGATGTTTATGTGTACTTTTTGAAAAATGAGTATCTTTCTAGCTAATTGGAAATTAGAGGTCATCCCTAATTCCTTTACTTCCCCTCAGAGGAACCAATTTGTGTGCATGTGCTGTAAATATGCATATGTTTTTTAGTCTTGAATTGACTAAAAATATCTTTTCCCTATGTCAGCAACTTTATAGCTGATATTGAGGAAATTGAGATTGATTGCTTTAAAAAAACCCCAACAACTCTGTAAGCAAATGCAGCAGCTATAATGGCTATGAGTCGTTGGTGACCACAAGCTTGGACACCAGAACTTATTTTACAATAATTAGCCTATTTAGCAAGTATAGCGATTTACACAGTGACTTTTGTTCTATCCAGAATAGTGAAGGATCTTTGGTTTTTATCTTTACAGCAGTTATTGATTGAAACAAGATTCTTTCAACCCCTACTTCAGTATCAGTGTGCAAAAGTGTAATGGGAAGTGAATCTTTCATGCTGGTGGCAACTAAAATAATCCTAATGATGCAATCTTTAAAATCAAGCACATTTTGTGTACTCATTTTTTTTCTTTAAAAAACCCCCCAATATACACACACAAACTCTGGTTGGTTTTTTTTTCCATATCTAATCCACCAAGTTCTCTGTTTCACAGATAAATGTAAAATGATGCAATAACTCTGCTTTTTGGCTACTGTGTTGAGCTGTGGAGAAAAACTAGACTTTAAAAGATCTATTTTGGAATAGTTTTTATCTGAGCTGCTTATACATGCGTCTAAATACTTTATGTTTGATTTGCATGCAATTTCTTACATTGTGTTCAGCACATAGAATTGTGATTGGCATGGTTTGAATCTGTATAGGAGAAACTCAGATGGATTCCACTTGTAGTACTTCCAGTAGTATATGAACTTTATTTCAAGGAATTCTACAAACATACCAGAAAAATAAGGAAGGGGTCATGCTAATTCACTGGATCACAACCTTATTAAGTACAGTTGGAAACTGTCTTGCAAAAATTCATCTAGCAAGAAAATTCTTTATAATCCTTACCATTGTAGGGGGCTTCCATCAATCTCGCACTGTGCTTGCCTGATGCTAACCTGTTATTAGCTTAATTGTTTCTGTCTTGTTCTACGAAAGTTAAGGATTTGGGTCGAGCTGATGGGAATATAGGTTGTTTCTTCAGCATAACAGATAGGATCCAGCTATGTTATCTAGTTCTTAATAGAGAACTTCTCATAAACTTCTCCTAGTATAGCTTATTAAAGAGCTCTTCATAGAATGTGGGGCTTCAATAGGCACTACAATCATGATAAAATGAACTTTATAGTTTAACTTACTTTCTTGAACTACTCAGAGGGAAAAATTGAATGCTACCTGAGCCCTTATGTAAATGAGGGAACCTTTCCCCCCCGCCCCAACATCCTTTCTCTTACTGATTGGTCAGTGAGGATCCAAATATTCAGTTCTCCTGTGATCCCAAAGTGTACAAAGCTTTTCCTCCTTCGACAGCCAAAGGGGACAGGCTTAGGCTAAATTATAATGTCTAGTCAGATCTGGGAGGTGGTTCTTTCCTCTGTTTCACTAGGAGTGACTCTGGGCAGGTACCTGGCATAGTTCATATTAAGATTTGTTTTTAAGATTTTCTTAAAATCCCTTCATAAAGTTACAGCTGTAATGCAAATGCATATTTGCCAATTCTTGTTTAAATTGTACATAGTACAGTACATCCATCTGGACAATCTGATGATGAAATAAAACCTTAACACTGGTTCGGGAATTTGTTCCACTTCCTTCATTAATATGTAATAGTTTATAAATGCTTTTACAGTTTTGTTGAGTACACTTGCCTGGTGGTGCTTCACAGGAAATGCTGTTAATATCTTGGCACATTTGAGGAAATGTAATAGAGGAAACACCTGTAAATAAATAAAGGGGACCTAGTCCCTGCACTAATTTGAAGCATGTAGTCAAAACACACAACCTTAGTCAAATTGTCATATTTATAAATGAAAAATGAAAGGATTAGTGCCACTTGAATACAATTGCTGTATTCCCTAGCTTTACAGGTGAGACAAACTGTGAATAGAGAATATTGTTCTTCCATTGTTGACATGTCAGCTTACTCTTGGTCTGTTTATGGTAGCACTGGGCATACTTTACAGAAAAATAAACATGCTGCTGAAATTGTAATGGAAAAATCTGTGTGTGTTTCCTTTTTTTACAGGAGGATAGTAAACAGGCTCAGTTTTTGGCTTTGGCTGTTGTGTATTTTATTTCTGTGCTCATGGTTTCGAAATACAGAGATATACTGGAACCGCAGAATGAAAGACGACCACCAAACCATAGCCAGCCATTCAAGGAATCAGAAATTGAAAATAATGAAACTCCTGCTACAGGTGAACTGTTAATTATTTTGCCAAATGAAATAATGTGGCTTATGCATCTTAAAATTCTGTAGAAGTCCATGTGAGACTGTATAGAAATATGCGCATTGTTACCACTTAAATAAACAACATTATAGTATTCAATTTGCCTCAGTATTTGTGTGTATTTTTTTCTGATCTGAGAAGAACCTAATCTATAGGTTGATTTTGCTGTGTAGAGGTGGTTGATCTCACTGAAGTAGCTAAGTATTCATGAATGCTTCTTGCAGAAACATTACTATTTTGCAGAAGGAAAGTATGCATAAGCATAGACTGGCAGCTTTTTGCTTCCACTATAAGACTTCTTTCTCCTGTTCTACTTTAGGGCAATCAATTTTCATTCTTTGACTGTTGCGTCAGTATCTTCTATTTCCTTGTCTCAATTTTTGGATGTTATAACTTTTCAGGCTTCTCAGAAATTAAAAGGAAATTCTTCCGTTCTAAGTTTCCTATTAAATACTTACAGATAATATTAAATCTCTAAGTAGGCAAGAGGAAATACTTATAGCTGTGTTATTTCACTTGTCACCTATGGGTATTACTTCTTTAGGAGCAATGTGGTGAATGCAATTCTGTTAATAATGAACTTAAAATGTGCTTTCTGGTTTTGGTATGAACAGATGTGGAAACCCCGTCTGCTGCTCTTGGTGGTTCAGTCTCCACTGAAGGTTCAGAAAGTACAGCGTCTGTACGAAGAAGGGATTCTGGTCTTGGGGAGGAACCAGCTTCAGGCCAAACGAACAGTTCCGGTACTGTTGCTGAAGCAGGACCTTTGTATGTCAGTGCAGGTCCAGATGCAATCAGTGAAGTACTATGCACGCTCTCATTAGAAGTAAATAAGTCTCAGGAGGGCAGAAGTGAGACAGGAACTGAGGATAGTAAGCCTGCAATTTCTGTGCCAGCTGCAAAAAATGTCAATGTAAAGGACATCCTGAGAAGCTTGGTAAGCGCACCAGGTGATGGGACTGCAGTGGACGCTGCTCTTCTGCCACCAACCTTCCTCGGAGTTCTTGGTGATGGAGCTGCTGAGCAGCCTGTACAGTTCCATTCCTTTGACAGGTAATGTAACTTCTAAAATATTTGGGCTATTTCATTTTGCTTAAGGTATCTGTAAGGAACAGAAAAATTCCCATTTCAGTTCACCAGATCTCATGTACGGTGTCATCTAGTACTTAATATAATCAAGATGCTTTGATTTACAAGTAGAACCTTTGACTACAAAGTCCACTGACATTACATAGGTTCATCATGAAGGTACGCTCTGCAATTCATGGGATGCTATGTTATGCTACAAAAGACTGTGGAAATGAAAAATGGCTGGTGATTATGTTATACTTGAAGGTCTTGAAGCCAGCACCTCTTTAAAAGAGTTAACTCTTCTGTCTCCATACATGTTACAGCTCAGAAGCAGTATGGTAAGAGGGCTAATAAATTGCCTAGAAATGACTGCAAGAGTAAAAGAAAAGATTAAGGGTGTAAGCTGTTCTTTTGTCTTTCCTGTTCTCCTACTCCTAACTGCAGCACTTGCAGATGAGTGCTGCTGTACTGTGCATGTTTAGTCAGTTATAAAGGATGCAAGTTATTTAATGTCCATTTTATTTCCTAATGTAACGATGTGTAGATTAGCTTGTGTATTGATCACAAAGCTGTATCTAGTTTCTGTTACTGTGGACCTGCAAAAGAACACTGGTTTAATAATAGTTACAAATGGATCGAAAACGATAAAGAAATCATCTAGGTGTCCTACTTACAGAATACTCCTATATTCATTTGTGAAAATGCATCTGTGTTCTGCCTTCTGGTGCTAAAGGCCTACTTTAAATCTTTCAGGCTTCATCCAGTAGATATATCCCTAAGCTGTCAGATTTGCTTTGTTGTTATAATAGCTTTTAAAATTTTGTTTCATTTTAATAAATATCTGCCTTAATACTCAAATGCTGTTTCACAAA